CATTATGATTCAAATACTCCTAATCATCACAGGTGAGCACTATTTCGGTGAACGTTTGTCTTGTGATAAACTTCATTCATGTAATTCATGTGCATTTCATCATGCTGTATGCTTCAAGTGTGGCAAAATGGGACACTTCAAGTCGGTTTGCAAAACTACTGTTCACTTCACCACTACCAATACTAAACTCTGTAAATCAGATCGTAATAATTTGGATAATTCTAATAATTATGTACTATCCTTACTTCCAATTTTGTGTGATTAATTTCATATTCAAAGGAGATTATATTTGTCCAGTGGTGCTTTTCGCGATTTTATTGTTAGCAATCATAGTATCACATCCATCATATCAGCTGAAAAGATGAAGTCGTACAATCTCAATGCTATAATAAAACCTACTGACGTTCATATTTCGAGTATTGCAGGCCACAAGCTTCCTATTCTGGGGTGTTTCAATTTGGTGATTAGAGACGATAAATTTCCAATCATAAATTGGGAATTCTTCATCACTGATTATGGACCATATATCCTGAGTCTAGAAAATTTAAGAATACTTCAAGTATAGTTTTCTTAGTTGATCACTGGAGACGGTTCTAATCAAGTGCTTGATAAATTATTAACTACGGAATCGAAGTGCGAAGATTCACGCACAAATCCAAAGCTATCTCATTCTGATGCTCAAACGGAACATTTCAAGACTTTGGAAACAACAATCAATTTTATTGCTTCTGCGAAATTGAAAGACACAGAGAGGAAAGTATATCAAGTCTTTCAGTGCATAATTTCCAGACCGTACTTAGAAGAAACAATAATGAAATTGCTCAAACAAAAAATATTTTGTACAAATATGAAACGTTTACAGTCTGCCAATGTTACATACTGCCGAGGAACGGGTTTTCCACAATCGACGAAAAGTCTGTTAAAAAGGGTTAATAAATCTATGTTTCATATGCAAGCCCGACACAACAACCGAATACGTTACAAGAACCCAGGTGAGCCCGTTCCAATTTCGGTTGTTAATTCTAGTACCAATGAGTACATTTTAGATCATACAGAGTCCACATCCAATACACAGTCGGACCGACACATGACGAACCTAAAGAGAAGAAGCACAGTCGATTACAGAAATTTAAACTTCCATTTAAGCTGTGATGGTTGTGGTATTTGTAAGAACTGATGAAAGACGTGAAGAGAATAGAACAGAAAGCTAAAAGCAATCAAAATAAAGACAGGAATGAATGAATGATGAAGTCTGTAAGAGATAAGTGACATAAGATCTGCAGATGATGTATTTAATGTACGGTTCTCATATTCTATGAACACACTCTGTAAATTTGCACTAGATAAATTGATCTTTCTCACCTGAATTCTTCTCTCACCACGGTGGTTCTTCGAAAGTTTCATTGTGAAATGAAATAGGCTTATCTGGAAAAGACAATTTTTTAGTGAGCTGTAGGCATCCTTTTCGATAAATGTAAGGAAATGAAGCCACAATTTTATCATTTCTAACATCTTTACTGGTCATACTACAGATTTCAAACATTTCGATTTAATCCTTGAAAGCTTCCGAATTCGAATGTATATCCAACTGCCAAATTAAAGGCTCCATCGCGACGCCATAATAATAATTAGAAGTATCCAACCTGATTTGATAACTAAGAATTCCCGAAATAGTGCAATTTAAGGTGGATAGAACTAAATAAACACAGCTGAACGTGTTATATTTTGAATTCGTAATAAGCTCTGAATCGAGTGCAAAGGGATCATTATTTAGTACAAATACCACAATTATATATCGATTATTATATTATGAGGACATCTGCGAAGTCCAAATCGTCTAATTGATTTTGAGCTGTCCATTGTATTTCGTGTTTTCCTTCAGATGTCGAGGTCTACTGCATCTTTCATCCGGTTCAGCAACACTCTGTTGAAGACCTTGCTCAGATCTCCTTTCTTTGGAATCTTGACGAGGTGCCCTTCTTTTCCAGTCCATCGGCACTTGTTCCTCCTACCAAATCTTTTTGAATAGAAGGTAAAGCATGTTTGTAGTTGCTTCAATGTCTGACTTCAGTGCTTCAGCTGGCATGTTGACGGGTCCCGCTGCTTTCCCGTTCTTAATTTGTCTGACAGTCATTCTGATTTCTTCCATCGTTGGTGGGTTGACGTCTATGGGAAGATCTGTGTGTGCCGCTCCGATGTCCGTTGGATTCATTGGAGCCGGCCTATTCAGGAGTTCCTCGAAGTATTCTACCCACCTGTTCCGCAGTTGTTGAATTTCAGTGATTGGCTTGCCTTCTTTGACTTTGACCGATCTCTCTGGTTTACTGTATTTCCCTTCTAGTTTCTTCGCTTTGTCGTAAAGCTGTTTCATATTTCCTACTCTAGCAGCTTTTTCAGCTGTCGTTGCTAGTTCTTCCACGTACTTCTTCTTGTCGGTTCTAATGCTCCTCTTCACTTGCTTGTTTGCTTCTGTGTATTCAGCTTGTGCTTGGACTTTCTCTGATCGTGTTCGGCTGTTGTTTATTGCTGCCTTCTTGTTCTTCCTTTCTTTGATCTTGTCCATAGTTTCTATAGAGATCCACTCCTTATGATGGTGTTTCTTTAGGCCCAGAATCTCTTGACACGTTGAAGTTAATGCTTCTTTGCTGCCTTTCCAGTTGTCTTCCATAGTAGTTTCTTCTTCTTTCAGTAGATCTCGTAAGGCTTGGAACCTGTTGTTGAGAGCTATCTTGAATTCATTGAGTCTGTCAGTATCTCGAAGGAACGCTGTATTGAACCTTTGTATTGCTGTTTGTCCACTTGTCCAGTTCTTTTTTAGCTTCAGTTTTAAATTGGCTACAACTAGGTGGTGATCTGAAGCTATGTCAGCACCTCTCCTGGTTCTCACATCTTCCACTGTCCTTCGAAATTTTTTGTTGATGCAAATATGATCTATCTGGTTCTCTGTAGTGTGGTCCGGTGAGATCCATGTAGGCTTGTGTATAGGCTTGTGTAGAAATATTGTGCCCCCTATGACCAATTTGTTGAATGCACATAGATTTGCAAATCTTTCTCCATTTTCGTTTCTCTCTCACAGTCAGTCCATGTCGTCCCATAATATCTTCATATCCGGTGTTGTGTATTCCGACTTTGGCATTTAGATCTCACGTTAGAATGGTGAGGTCCTTTCTTGGGCATTTCTCAATGACTGACTGCAGCCGCTTGTAGAATTGATCTTTAATGTCGTCGTTGCTATCATTTGTGGGTGCATAACATTGGATAATATTCATTGTGATCCCCTCCTTCCTTGTTTTGAATGATACTTTGCTGATTCTGGATCCGTGAGATTCCCATCCTACAAGTGCATTTCGTGCTACTTTGGACAGCATAAGAGCGACTCCCTGAGTGTGTGGAGCATTTTCCTTTTCGTGACCGGAGTATAGCAGCATCTCTCCCGTAGCTAGCCTTTTCTGTCCAGCTTGAGTCCAGTGGGTTTCGCTGATTCCAAGTATTGCCAAATTGTATCTCCTCATTTCCGTTGCTATTTGACTGGTCTTCCCGGTTTTCCACATTGTTCGGACGTTCCATGTACCTACAAAAATGTTTGCTCTGGTTTTTAGAAGGGGCATCGTCCTCGTGGCTTCTGAAGGAACTCGGTTTTCACCATGAAGCGTCATAATTCTTCTAAATGAAGACCTTCTAACTCCCAGGGCAGAGTTAATGTGGTTGAAATTAATTTTTCTCGTAAGCGTTTTTTTACCGAGTTAGTTTTCTACGGGATGGGGACGCTAACCCCATGCTCAACCCTCCACCCTTACCCGCGCATGCGATCGGCAGTAACTCTAGAAGAGCTATAGGAGGAGTTGGAAACAGTAAGAGCAGATCAATATTTCAAGCAACTAGTGGAGTAGAATTACCTACCAATCTTCAAATATTTGAAATTTATAGTCTTTGGTGTATTGAAATTATAATTTCTGTTCAACCTCAAGCTTATCCTGTAGTTATGTAAGTCAGATGCAGTACAACACGTACATGGGAGTATGGCAACAAAAATTTCGAATTCCTAAGCAATGTTGAACATGGATTACAGCAATATTACTTCACAACAATTAGTAAAGTTTCCAAATAATTTTGGTTAAAAATACTTTATATTGAGAAGTCGTTCAGAAGTGTACCAATGTTGAAAACCCATCAGTGCATAGAACCAAACGGATTTAGAAAACAGGCATAAATCTAAGTACGAAAGCTTTTTAAGAATCAATAAATGTACCAAGTATCACAAATTTAACCAGCAAACGTTATCGATTATAGAAGACGTTGATTCCAACAATCAAGTTGCGGATTCCAGATTATTTATGTGATAAGTAAACAGACTGGTGAAAGGAATATTTCAGAAATACTCTCAGCAAAGTACAGTTTGGAATGAATTATCGTCTGAATACATGCAGTACGTATCATGAAATTTTGAGAATTTCGATCGCTTTACACGAAAATCACAGTTTTCTAGTTCAGTTTTCACCAAACGACCTAAGTTACCTGCTTTCAACTAATAAGAAAATGAGCCGAACACACAAACAGTCTGTTGACTGTGCTTTTGATATCCTTGCCAAGTAACCATGAATGTGTATAGAAGTAAAATTATCAAGTACGACGTCACTAATTGTCATTTGTGACTTGTCGTGAATAGCATTAGTATGGAAGCACCAGGATTTCACTAGAATTCGGTAGTGTTTTCTAGAGAGTTCTGGTAAATAGGGTGTAATGTGTGTCGACACAGATCAAACACATATGGACGTAGACTAGACAGGACGAGAGAAATCTAGAACTTTCGAGAAAATGTCCTTCAATGACCAATCAGATTTGGACTTAATTATATTGTAGAAATATTAGCGTTCTGATTGGTTGATACTTGTTTAGAGGTCATTGAATAATTTCTCACCCACCACTATATAAGTAAGTTAGACAGTCGAGCATTCAACCCATAGTTGTTGTACTATTGTACTACTGTTATCGTATTAAGTATGTCTGGTGGGCAACAGCATCAAGCAGTTAGTATTCCTGTGAATCGTGAGCAACGGTCATTTGAGAGGCAGAGACGTGACCTGTTAACTGGCCTGGAACACGGAGGTGGTACTCATCGTGGCAACCTAATCGCACCGTACACGGAAGACTGGCCGAGTACTGTGGACAGCTGGATCAACTCCTCGTGGAGGAGATGGGATGAAGACATGAGACGTTTGAGACGTGGAATGTTCGCACTATTAGTGAGTTTTGCTATTCAGTATTCAGGTGACCATTAATGCGTATGATTTCCTGAGATAATGTTTATCATTTGTGTATGTTAGGAATGCAATAATGCATTGTGTGAGCAGATTTCGCATTAAATTCGAGGAGAGATTTGATGAGCTCGGTATGTTCTTTGAATTTCAGCCGTTGGACAACTTTACCCACGGGATTTGGGAAAATCCATTCGCTTTAATGCACCAAATGGATCGTCATATCCAGGATATCCGAGAGAGAATGGGCTCAATGGATGTTCCGTCGACCGGTTCAGTGAGTGACTTTTTGAAGGACGCCTACGAAATAGGTGAGGATGGCAAGGTGAGTCCGTGCTGACGAGCAGGTAGGTTGTGTTTAGTGTTTTGTGCAGTTGGTTTGAACATGGCCGTTGATTGACGAGTGTTATTGTGGTTGTTGTTTATTGCGTAGGTACATTTCAAGGTACGATTCGATGCACAAGGTTTCGCTCCTCAGGACATCAATGTGACGTCGAGTGAGAACCGTGTGACGGTACACGCGAAGAAGGAGACGACGACCGATGGTGGGAAGTGTAGTCGGGAGTTTTGTCGTATGGTGCAGCTGCCGAAGAGTATTGATGATAGTCAACTGAAATGTCGCATGACAGATGTAAGTTGTTGAGTTGACAACTGTGGTTGCTGGTGGTTTTGTGTGTGTTGTATTTGCAGTTGTTTGCATTCCGAATCATGTTAGAATAGTTGGAAATTTCGTTTCATTTTGTTCTGTGCGTTTGTTTGTCTGTCTGTTTCAGGATGGTGTTTTGATGTTGGAGGCTCCAGTGAAGGTTGATCAGAACCAGTCGTTGACGCTGAACGAGTCTGGTCAGGTGGGTGTTCGACCGAAATCGGACAATCAGATAAAGGCAGTTCCTGCGTCGCAAGCACTTGTTGCAAAAGGTGAGAGGAGTTGTGATTGATTTAGATGTAACATGTGCGTGTTGATGGTGGTCTGGTGGGTGTGTTATTCTCGTTTGTGTGTTGAATTTTGTTAACATTGTGTTTTTTTCCTATCCATTTCAGGTGTTCATGGTCTGTCGTATGTGGATGATGGTTCAGGTGGCAAGCGATTGCATGTTGAGGTTCCAGTGGACCCAGTGTACAAGCCTGAAGACTTGTGTGTGAATGTTGATTCGAATCGTGTTGTGGTTAGTGGACGTCATCATAAGCAGAAGAGTGATCGATATGGAAAGTCAAGTTCATTTGCAGAGTTCAGTCAGTCGTATGCGATTCCAGAGACAGTTGATCCGTTATCTGTTTCTGCTCAGGTAGTTGGCAATACATTGGTATTGGAGGCGCCATTGGAGAAGCAACATGCAATTACTCACTAGAAGAGAATATGTTTTACTAAACTAATCGTTGCTTAATGTTAAAATATTGATGTGATTTTTCTGAATAAATATTTTTAAATTTCATTCGATCCCATGTTATTTATTTCGTGATCAGCGTATGCAGTTGACTAGTTGAACGTTTTCTTTCTGGTGTGCGGTTGATAAGACGATAGTTTTGTTTTGGTTTACATGTTTTTCCTGCATTCAGATTCTGTGAAATTGATTTTTCATTGGGATTTTCGTGACTTCATGCTTGTTGATGTTGTGAATGGAGAGTGGACGTGGAGTAGTAGAAGACGTTTGATGAGTGTGTGAATTTTATAATTTTATACGAGGATTATCTAGATGTATATGTCAATAGCACTGGGAAACGATCTCACTGTAGTCAGATCCCGGGCCACTAAAATATAATAATTTCATTTGTGCTCATTTAGTTCTACATGATTTAAATTGCACTATTTGGGAAATCCTTAATTAGTACGTTGATTTGAATACTTCTGGTTATCATAATAAAATATCTGGTATGGAATTATGAAGTAATTGACTACGGCTGTATTGAGCATGCATGTAATCATTTAATCACCAAAACTACCTACACTCAATAATACATTTACAACAACCATTAGATACGATGACAGTTCGCCGTCTGCTTGGAAGGTGCACATTTATGAATCTATTGATTACGTGGTCACATTCGGTTCTTAAATCAAATACTTTTACTCCTTAAAGCTACACGCTCTAATTTATTGATAGTCAACATTAAAAGCTTTTAGATTCCACATGCAAATACAAGCTGTACACAAACCAAATTACTGACGGTCATCGGTACGCATCGTGGTAGTAAACGATGTCGCAGTAATTCAAAATCCTACAGCAACTATGAAATATAGCAACAAACTTCATATAAAATTGATCAGCGCTTAGTACTAGTGTGAAGTTTAGAATTTTAAGATGAAGGATCTACTGTGAACGTTGTGGACGCCGTATGAGTGGAAAAATATCTGGGAATCGAGAAGGCTTTATATATTGTAGAATGGAGAATGGAACGTAAAAACACATGACATACTATATACCATGGTTTATGGAAACGGCAGAAGTGATGCATGGATCTGAAAAGTTAACAAGATATTTGGTGAAATTTCAACTGAGCATAAAAAATAACTTCGAATTAAATATCACTGATGAATGTATGATTACTCGGTACGACTAGAACGCATGGACGGTGTCTGAGTGATACTAAACTAAATTTGAGAAACTCCGACCACTTGGTAGTTTCAAAATAGGATCAGAAATTAGAGTGATGAATTGGGATCAAGAGTCAGAGTAAGGCATTTTACTACGACTGACATCAGTTATAATGTCGAGACGTCACTCCATCATATGGATAGATAAATACAGTACATTCATTCGTGCTTAACTAAACGGTGCTTAACTGAACGGTAGATTAGAAGACAGCGAGTTATCGGTCAGACCAAAGACGCGCAAACACGTAAGAACGGCCTAGGGTTCAGATTGGTCCCGCTTCCCTGTCTAGCCCAACCAGTTGAGTCCAGAACGCAAGTCTCAGCCTCGGAGATATGAATCATTATATTTCAAACATACTCTGTTTATATACCAATCAAGCAGACCACATCGTACAATAAAATAGAAAATAACATTGTACAATATTGACGAGTAGGAAAACGACACGTGAAACAAATATTCACCAATAGGAACATAACACCTTTTCAAGTCCAAAGATAGAGTTAGACTTGACAGAATAATTTTTTGGGATATTTTCCTGAACATCCCAACAACTTAGTACTTCTTGATCTAATTGCATTATTTCTGGGATTCTAAGTTCGTACTATAATTCAAATACTCCTAATTATCACATTGGCATCGCGATGGAACCTGTGATGGAATTGTTGGATATACATTCGGATTTTGATGCTTTTGAGGATTACTTTGAAAGGTTCGAAATCTGGGCTATGACCAAGGAAGATGATGAAGATGTTAATATTGTATCACATTTCCTCAGATTCATTGGAAAAGAAGTATACAACTTATTAAAAAACTCTGGCTTTACCGGAAAAGCCCATTTCGCTTCCTTATGCAGCTCTCAAGGGACAACTGCTAGACTATGTTAAGTATACAAATTTCGAATGCGGCAAAGGAGGAAGATTTCATAAAATGATTCATGAGGATATAAAAAAATTCCACCACATTATGTCATCCCAACCCAGTGCATACTCAAGGTTATGCAGATAATTCATTGAGGAGTTGCGATGCAGTTCATGAAGATGGGCACAAGTTTGGTCAATATTTGTCCTGTGTGGCAACAACTTGTGATGACGGATAACGATAAGAATAGTATTATTACAATAGACTCCGATGTACGCGTACGGAATCCTAGGCACATTTTATTCGCGTGACGATAAATCCCACGTTTTATTCGAGAAATTCCCCAAATTAACTAAACCAGTCGAGCAGATTTCATCGGTGACCAATCTCGCGGACCGCCAGTCACGGCACGACCACGCCGACTGTCACCGGACAAATTAGCCTTCGCTAAACGTGTGTTTGACAATTTACTAGCTACTGGTGTTATTTGTCCTTCTCACAGTCCCTGGGCCTCACCTCTTCATATGGTGCGCAAAAAGGATGGGGTTAGCTGGAGACCATGCGACGACTACCGAGCATTAAACGTAGTTACACGCATGCACACACATACACGACATCACGGCATAGCTCAAGGGCACGACTATTTTTTCTAAGATCGATCTGGTACGAGCATATCATCAGATCCCAGTCGCTCCTGAAGATATTGAGAAAATCGCTAACACGACTCCTTTCGGTCTGTCTGAGTTCCTACGAATGCCATTTGGATTACGGAATGCTGCTCAGACTTTCCAAAGGTTTATCGATAGCATAGTACGAGACTTAAATTTTTTTTCACGTCTATATCGACGACCTGCTCATCGCATAATCAAACTTAGATGAACATTATCAACACCTTACACTCTTATTCCAACGTATATCGGATAATGGAGTAGTAGTCAACCCAGACAAGTGTGAATTGGGCAAATTGAAAATAATATTTCTGGGTCACATAATCAAACAAGAGGGTATGTTACCTTGTGAGGACAAAGTACGTGCAATAATGGAGTACACCGTACCGTTCACACTCAAAGAACTGAAGACATTTCTCAGTTTGTTTAACTTCTACCGACGGTTACGATCATTAACCGACTTACTTTTCGGTAATCCACGCAAATTAGAATTGAACGACACTGCACGTACTGCATTTTCAGATATCAAAACGGCTCGGGCTGAAGTTACACTCCTCGTGCATCCTGACCTATCAACCACGCTTAGTATAGCGGTTGATGCATCGGATTTTGCCATAGGAGCCGTTATGCAACAGAACATCTCCAGAAGTTGCCAACCTCTTGAATTTTTCTCACGACGTCTTACTCCCACGGAGACGAGATATAGCGCTTTTGGTCGAGAGCTGCTAGCAGCTTACTGTGCCATCAAACATTTCCGGCACGCAATAGAAGGACGCCATTTCATCTTATTCACCGACCACAAGCCCTTAACGTATGCTCTGAATACCAAGTCTGACTGCTACTCACCACGAGAATGCAGACATTTGGACTAGATCTATCAGTTCACGACAGACTTTGGTCACATTAAAGGCGAGTCGAACTATGTTGCCGATGCTCTGTCACGTATCCAAGTGAATGCAGTTACTTCACTGGTGCTCGATCTTCCTGCTATGGCTGCTGCTTAAACAAACGATCCTTTTTGCACCATCTACGGACGAGACTTCAGTCTCACGTCCAGATCAGCAGACCACGACGCCCTTGGCTTCGGATGAGATTTCGAGCTCACGAAATACGAACAAGACTACCGTCCCATGTTCCGGGCGCCAAGTACGGTTGCCCGTACGCTTTCGCGACTAACCGTACAATCAACAACGGACTCGGTGTAGGACTATTCCTATACTACATGCATGCTGCACTTTTTTGACTTTTTTGTATCCTGGGCCCACGCCTCCGACCATCACCCGTTTGGTACCGTCGACTTCAGTCAACTTTGGCGAAAGCTGGCCTGATAACCCACGCTCTTGTCAAAGCACTCAGTCAATGTTCAGGTTTCGAATCTGCCTAGCATACGTTTGGTTTCGCGCTTGGTTGCTATGGTCGCTTCCGGTTTCCTGACTCAACGTGGTTTCGTCCTAAGTCTGCAGCGTTTTCTGGTCCGCATCCCTACGAACGCAATCTTCAGATCCTGGATACAAACCACACTCATGTGGTATGCTAACTCCAACAACAAATACAGCACACTTCTGGTACCGTTCTCCGTAAAAGACCTTCGTTGGCAACTCGAGGATCAACGATCGCTTCCTGTTCCACCAATCCTTTCGTCCTACAATCGCACATTTGCCGATCAGCCCCAGGAATCAAACCGCTACTTATCGAAAGTGTAAACCCTTTCTAGCGGATGGCTCCTGTAGTGACCTACTTTTACCAAGAGAAAGCGATTGGTTCAATGGAAACAATCACTGTTATAACCAATTGTACCAGTGATTGTTTTACTGTGCTCGTTTGTTTAACTGTGCTTAAGACAGTCATACTACTACTCAATTGATTGTGACCTTGCACGGGTTCGGTTACGCTTGGTAACCACGCTTGTACTTCTTTGGCACGATCTCGGTGTCTTTTCGATACCACGAAATCGCCAACAAATAAATCTCGACTACGGCCATCGACTACCTTCTGGTATTTGGCCTACGGGGGATTTTATTGGTTAACTGGTACGTAGTCTTCTTGTAGTGGTGTTCATAGTCAACCGCGACTCGACCCCACGCTACAGTTAAATGAAACTCAGAATCCATGCGAGACAACAATTTCTAATCAATCAATTTGTCAGATTTCTCATGTTATTGTACCATATATGGTTCTTCCTAATGGTTCACATATTTCTTACAAATCTGAAGAAAATATGTTGAATGA